CTGAAGAAATAGAACTTCTTAAAATTTTAATAAAAAAAAATCTTACATAGTGCCATTTTAAAATATTGAATACTGATATCAAGTCTCAACCCGATATTTGTATTTTCGTAGATAATACAGCTACACTCTGAAGGCTTTAAGTACAAAAAAAGAATCAATACAACCAATTAAATTTAGGCAAGACAGGCTAGGCTTCCAATTACAGCTACAGTAAAATCACTTTATTTTATTATACGCATAGTGTGATACACTCTGAACTATTTATTTTTTTTTTTTTAGAGATGCACAAAATTTTGGGCCAATGTCAATATTTTTCATATATATGCCGATACATTTATAAAACGTAGAACATGAGTATTTCATCTGAATCACCATCAAGGAGAAACAGAACATTTATTTGTAGAGGGTTACAAATGCAGTAAAATTAATAAAATGTGGATATTTGAGCATAGCAGCTAACCATCGCCTAACCGTTCTGCACTTCTGGAATACAATAAATACGATTTCAAATAACGATTTGCATCAGTGTGATGTCAATTTTTTATAAGCTAATAAAGCTTAGAACAATATGATTCCACTATCATTGTGCATCCCAACTTAGATATTTGATTTAACTTCAAGTTTTTCCACCATGTGCAGGTGGTCTCCTGCTCTTTCACAGCTTTAAAACATACCTTTTCACAAGTACATGTGTTTTGACAAAAGCTGGCTAGCTTAAACTCAGTGAACAGTGGCCAACATCAACAACTGGCTGTTGTAAGTTGCACACTTAGACTGACTGCTGATATCTGAAAATGTGCCTCTTCACAAACTGTGTGTAATGTCTATTTATGTCACCTCTACAACAATGGTGTACCCACAAATGGGAAAAACAGCCCAAAGAAAGGATCGGAATTGTGTCATATCGGATCAGGACATCCACTTCCCATAACAAAACAAAACCATGGAAATACTAGTCTATTTTATCTGTCAGATAACACATTTACACTATGCTCATTCACTTGTGCGACGGTGGTTTCAAAAGGAATCTGCCTGAACCAAACTGTAATGCAGTGCTGATTAAATCAGCACCACGGCAGCCGCCAAGCTCCAGCAGCCCGGACTCTGACTCTAGCGGGGCTAGACGCAAATCTCAAAGCGCCTCTGCGCTGTTTGTCTCCTGGCATGCACGGGAGAGAGGGAACTGTTTACAGTCGAGCCGAGCCGCACTATCAGCGGCTGCAGAGACGGCCGCCCACATGCATAGGAACACAGTGCATGCCAGGAGAAACAACACAGATAATTTTCCACACCGTTACATCCCCGACCTTCTCCTGGATGTGTGTGTGTGTGTCTGTGTGTCCGAGACAAACACAGCTATCTTTACCATTTTCCACACCCTGATCCTGCATTACCAGGACCCTCCTGTATTAGGATGTTCCCCAATTACGATGCACACAAGCACAGATCACTGCGGCCTGTTCATCACTCTCCACAGCAATGCCTCACCTGTTTTTTTTTCTTGCTTTCTTTTGCTGCTTTCTTTCTGTTTCTTCCAATTCCATTCTCTTGCTCTGTCACTCTTCATTTAAGAACCGCTGTCTCTTTATTTATTTACAGTCCAAACACCCATAAAGTACAAGCCATTCCTTTTTCAGTGTCAGGAAAAAGCAAAAACAAAACATTTAACAGAAAATTACACAGAAGCTGCAACAACTAAATATAAAATTCTTCAGTATTAATTCATCCACTCTTTGCCTTTATTACAGCTTCCATTCCTTTCAGAAGACTTGCTTTCAGTTGAAATAAATCTCCAGGGATATTTTTCCACACCTCCAAAGTTCAATTTAGAAGTTGGTTGTAGTTTCTGCTTCTCATAATTCATGTTATCCCAAACATATTCAGTGGTGTCGTGGTCAGTCCATTGTTCTGAGGACACCAGCAGATGCTTTGCAAATTTTCTTCTTTTTTGTCTATTTCCATAGCATTGAGTTGTCTTCTCACAGTGGAAGGATGGACAGAAACACCTGTTTTTTTCCATATCTGAAGCAAAAGTGACACTTGATTTTCTCTTCTTTCTCAAAGATGAAAGCTTTAAGCACTGTTTATATGATTGTGACAGTTTTGCACACTTTGGAGTCCCATTTTCTCTTTATCTTTGACTTTGTGCTTTCCATTTTCTCTTCCTCTTCTAAAAATTTGTGCTTAGTGGTTATTTTGAATGGTGAATAAACGAATGAAGGGATGTCTCTGAGTTTTGCACAGTATGTTGTAATTATTGCATCTTAACAAAACATACAGAGGGAAAGATGATTATCACGAAGCACAGAAGTGTAAGCACAAAGCTCCCTGAAGACAAACCTTACAATTTTGCAGTTTTATGATGTTTCAATTCACTGCAGTGCAACAAAAATGAGTCCAAACTAACTATTCAAAACTGTGAAAATAACTGTAAATGAACCGACTATCACTATCAGCTCAATGATCTCGACTTGTTCAAGGTTGTTTGTGTGTTATTAGTGTTAAATGGCCAGTGTGGCCACTAATTCTTTGCATCCTCATTCTTCGTGACTCCCTGGCTCAGGAACCTTTCATCAGCAGAGTTTAACAAGCTAATAAGCACAGAGGCCACACAATCTCACAGGCACAGAGAAAAACGTTTTCAAATTCCCTTCGATATCATTACCCTAAGTTGCTCTAATAATAACATGGAGCATGGTGTTCATTAAACTGATCGGCTTGAGGTTGCTTATGTGATCATACTGCAAAATGAAACTTTTACTACTTATGATTTCAAACCATATTTAACTGCTGAGCCAAAGTTCTATAAATAACAAACCTCTGCGTTTTCGTCTCCTCGTTGCAATGCCGCGAGTATATCCCTGGATGTTTCGCGCTGGCAAAGAAACAACTTCAAACAATTTGCTCATGGGTGAAGAGGGGTGAAAAGCTACAGAACGAGTAGTCATCCTTCCCTTCATTATTCCAATCTAACCTAGAGCACTCAGTGCATACTGATCATCAATTCCTGGGGGGACGAAAGCCAGCTGCGTATGGGATTTAGTTACAGTAAACTCCAGCTGAACAGCACGCTGTGACCCTGTGCTAGACCGCGGTTAAGTACTCCACTCTCTCCGTTACGAACAGGCAACACATTAAAAAGTGTCTGGAGTCTCGATAATCTGTGTAAAGTTGACTGACCTCCACTCTTCAGCTAAATCTTTTTTTTTTTTCCCTGTGCCTCAGTGTGGAGGGTGAGACAGGATTATGGTAATTATGCTTATTATATTTTCAATGTATAAAATATATGACACGTAGTCTGGCCTGGGCCCCTCATCTCAGCTCTTGACAGCTAAATTAAAAACATGCTCTGCTGCCGTGACCTTTGAGATTGATCCCTCTTCTCTCTCCTCTCTCTCACCTTAAAGCTTTCATCGCTGGGCCGTTCTAGTGCGAACTGTTTGTTTAAGGGTTGATAGTCATTGGGGACTCTGTACCGTCGGGAAAGATCTATTGTTGCTCCGAGGCAGCCTGTGTACCTGTCCAGACAGGTATGTCTCCACCGATGGCTCCACTGAGGGCAGATCCTTTTCTCTCAGAGGGAGAGAAGCTGGTTACATCGGCCCCTTGAGCCCGAGCATGGGGGAAACAGGGACCGTCTAAAGAAAATCCCCTGACACAGATCTCTTATGATATGCTAACTGAGCCTGTGATGTTGTTTACCGCCGAGCCCAGCAGCTTCACGCCGAGACGTGCGCTGAGCTTCCGGGACACATCAAACACATATTAAAATCTAAAATTAAAAATCACTCACCCGTGACATTTGACACACAGACCGGGAGTAATACCAGAGGAATACCAACATGCTCAGCTATTGTTCAGAACACACCTGTGATTTGAAATGACAACCTGTCTGAGACTATGTTTACTGTGGATGTAAAATTTGAATAGAAATCAATTGAAACATGTTCAACCATTAAAAGAAGAAACCCAACTATTATTCTGACTTTTTCCCCACTTTGTCATGTAAAATAATATAGTTTCAAGGTCAGCAGGGGTGGACTGGTAATTGGGACAATTCGCTGTGGGCTGCTCTCTCTTTTGCTCATGTTGATGGTCGAAAAACAGTGAAAAAGTGAGAGAGAAAAAGAGAGAGAAAGAGCGAGTAGCTCCCACTCACTGAACCCTCAATGCCACTGCCCAGACACGTAATCTGATTATAACTTCAACCCCTAGTAATTAAATCCAACCCAACCCACAGAATGAAGAGAAAACTGACAGGAGATTGAAAAAAATGTACCAAAAAGGTAGGGGTAAAAATAAATCGACAAAAATCTGGGATCATTTGAGCAACAGGCAGCAAAATGCACATAAATCAGTGTACTTTTTGGGCACCCTGTATGTGAGAGATACCAGCAGTCAAGTGTAGAACTGATGAAGCACAATAACTTGTTCACAGGGCTTATTGCTGCATATTAGTATGGTGCACAAACCAAGAAAGTACACAAGTTAGCAGCAGTGCTGGGCAATATGACAATATATGATTGTAATTGTGATAAATTACATCACAATATTTCACAATAGTTCTTTTCATTTGTATTTAGTGCTGTACAGTGTGTGAAACTTTAAATAAACCTAAGGAAAATTGGTTGATGCATATCGTATATCATAAAAACATCTTGGAAGAACCTTGAAAGAATATTTTTACCATATAGCCCACCCCTAGCTAGCTGTCAAACAAGGTTGAAGGTTTAGAACATGTAGGCCTGATTAGCTATTTAGGTTATTATCTAGTAAGGAAAACACCTTTCTTAGCTATATAATAGCTACATGACTGTTCGTTACAGTAAAGCTACAAATAAAGCTGCCCATACAGTTAGGCTAAGCCCTTAACTTTACTGGGAACTTTTTTGTTAAACAGGGGGTGTTCTTTGGGAATTAAGTGGGTTAAGAATAAAATGAAAGTGAACTGAATTATGACATTAAATTTACAAGGCAAACAGAAAAAAAAAAACACTTACCGTGAGCTGGATCAGGTGGTCCGAAAACTAGGTTGTAGCGCAGGATGTAAAAGTTATTCCACACATAGAGCTGGTTGTCCCTGGGGTTGTACTCCACAGCTGCGATGTACTGGTACTGATTGGGGAAGTTAATATCCACAAACTCGCCGCGGCTCTGCTTGGTGTTGTAGATGTAATCGACGAGGCCTTTGCTGACTTCATTCTCGTTGTCCTCGTACGTGGACCTGACCACGTAGAGGACGCCGCAGATCATGAAGGCGTTGGAGGCTGAACGCTTGTCGTAGGCTGTCTCCCATGTGGCCTCGAAGCGCAGTGTATAGGGGTTCAGTTGGCTCAGGACCATCATGCCATTGTTCTGCTCGGTGGCATAGATCACCCACAGGCCGTTCTCATCCACCGCCAGGTCAATGTCTGTCTTTCCACCCCACTTGTATGGCGAGGTGTCATGGTAGTTGGCGTTGTTGATGATGGCTTCGCCACTCTTGATGCGGGTCCGGAGGTCGAACTTTACTATATTGCGCGTTCTTTCCTTGTTAAAAAACACAGCCCCGTCATATACCACGAATCCGGTCCCATCCACTCGATGGGGCAGTTTGTATGTCGTGGTTTGTCGTGAGTTCTGGAAGTCATCGAGCGATGAGTACTCGATGAGAGTATCAGTTCGGTATGGAGTCCAGGGCATAAAGTAAACTTTGTCGCCGGCCTGAAGTGGGTCCTTGCACCAGGCCCCGGCTTGCTGCTCCGCTTCAAAGAGAAAGGAAGGATCTCCAACAGCTTTCAGAGTTCCAGGACAAACAAAAACTAGTGATAGGGAAGAGTAGAACAAAGAACAGTCAAAAGTAAGAAAACGCAGCCCAGACGTATTGTAATTAGAAGGCCAAGCGGCCAGTCTGGCACTATGTCAGCTCGATAATTGGGCAGTCTGAGAGGACAGGGGACAAAAACACACACTGGAGTGGCTAAGAAGCTACAGCTATTCAGCATTCATACGCAATAAAAGGAGTTTATTTTAGTGCGAGGAACCTGGATCTGAAAGTAATTGAAACTAAAACACAACATAAAAGTAGTATCACGGTTCTGAAACCAAAGGCTCCCTGCTCCTCGGACATACTGTATGCCGAAGGGGAACGAGGGGGTATTAAACAGCAACAAAAAATTGTAAGAAAAGAAATGAAAGGAAAACAACCAATCTGCCCTGTAAATAAAAGAAGCCAACTAAAAAGATTTGGTAAAAAAAAGACAGGGAGAACTTCAAATAGCAGCATACAACACGTCTGCAAATGTGTATACGGAGACATTTGGCATTTACGTGGCCTTTATTCTATACCTAAGAGAGGCTTTCTTTGTGACTAAATGGTGCAAATGCCACAACCATTAAGATTTAAGGCAATATTAAGTTTTTGAGGTGTTGTGTTGTTTCTTTTTTTTTCCCTGAACACAGACACAATAATCAAACGTGAAGAGAGCAGTAAGTGGCAGGGTCGGGAGAGGGCAGAGAAGAAGAGAGAGAGACAGAAAGAGAGAGAGAGAGAGAGAGAGAGAGAGAAAGAGAAAGAGATGGAGAGCAAGAGAGAGTGAAAAAGATAAAGAGAGAAAGGGAGAGAGGAAGAGAGAGAGAGAAAACGACAGTCGAGGCAGTGAATTTAATAGGCCAAGAGAAAACCTGTTACCATGGCATGCTATGGAAGGGGGGATTGGAAAGCCAGGCAATAAGAGACTGTGCCAAACAGAAAGAGCACCCAAGGGTATGGGGAAGGGGAGGGGGAGGTGGGGAGAAACCCCTACAGACTCCAGCCTCTACATCACAGCTAACATTTAAGTTGCAAGTGTCTTATCATGTCTTTATAATGAGTCCTCCTCCCAATGCTGCAGTTTTACTGACCTTTACTGATTCAAGAGGATTTTTCCTACAGCCTGCTAGGATCAGAAAGGCAAGAGCGGGGATAGGAAGGTTTTTTTTACGACCATATGCCACAAAGGAAAGAAAAGAAAAACAAAAAACAAAGAAAACAAAGGAGCTATGGGGAGTTTAGATTGTGTCAGTTATTTACCTTTTTGCTCCACTTCTATTTTAAGCGTTGGACGAGAGAATGAAAGGGGTGCAAGGGGGAAAAAGAGATTAACATGAATTAACTATCATGTCCATGAATACATGCAGTTAACATGTCATGAGTTAAAGGATAATATTTACAGAGGTATACCTAAGTTAGAGGGAAAGAGAGAATTAAGTTAGAGCCAGACACACGAGGCAACCCCTTAAATTGAGAAGAGGACCAGGTTAGTTATTAAATGAAGAAAACTGCATGTAACAGCATTAATTCTGGTGTGAATAAGGCTTCTGTAGCATATAAACCAACAGGAAGCTTTCCGAAAGAACTCAAGAGCAATGAAAATGTAAAGCTTGATTACTTCATTCATTTAGATTGGAGTTTTGCCAACAATATTTCAATGTTCCCACTAGAGTATGTTGATAAACTCAGCTCACAAGTCAGTTTCATTCCTAAAACTGTATTCCAACAACTTTTGGAACAAAATCTGAGTTAAGAAAGAAATGACGGCTGTAATCATGATGTTGCACAACTTACTAAAGACACCACTGGTGCTAAGCATCTGCAAACTTTGGTGTTCATACAATGCAGTTGCATTAGATGGCGTAATGAACAGAAAGTCCCATCTCCACAATGCACACTGTCACAGATTAGCGCCACAATATCACAATAACATGATGCACTGTTACACCTCTAGCATCTAGTGCATATGGTGACTCAGCGAGTTTCGTTTTCTTTGCCAACTTTAAAAAAGTATGTAACAGTTTACTGCAGGTCAGTGTTAGTAATGTTACATGACACATACATAAGCCTTTCATGACAACTGACATAGACCTACATAAACAATAAAAAAAGGAATATTTATTCAAAATGTTTGAAGAGTTATTTGTTACAAAGGTTGCATTTGCCAAGTTGACATAACATCTATGTCGGGTGACTGACTTTCTTCTTTTCTAATATTAGGTTGTGTCATACCTTTTGGGGTGAAATGACACAATTTACAGTGTCACTGTGACATAATGATGATGACATTGGTGGAACATCAGGCAGGTTGAACTAAGGTCATTTTTTTGTGGCCCATAGGTGAAATGAGTTTCATTTACAATTTATAAGACTTGAGCTGTGACATCATCAGCATTATGTCACTGTGATATACAAAAGCTAGGAAGTCATTTGATATAATGTGCTACGCCATTTCACTCAAAACAGTGTCATGACATCAAAGTTGACAGCCTTTATGACAAATAATTCTTATTGGAGTAAGAGTCACACTTTATTTTGATGGTCTCCTACAGATAAACTTTCTAGTGATACTTGGTTTATTAGCAACCAAGTATTAGTAGGAGTAGGTGTACTTTTTGTGTTGAAGTTCAGGTCAGGTTTAGTGTTAAGATTAGATTTAACAGAATCTATCAGACTCAACTTCAAATTCAGTTGCACTCAACAGATTTTTAGTTAAATGTAAGTTAAAGACAAAGCATCTACAATGAACTAGCAAAACAAAGTATTACCAAAATAAGTCTTTATAAATGTTTAAGTCGACTGTCATGATGAGTCAAGCAGCCTATTGAACGGTGCCCTACAGTAAAGTGTAACCAAAAAGCCTGTACTGTATTCTACACTAATTCAGCTCTTTAATAAAACTATAGCTAAAGAGCTAAAGACTGAGTTATTACTTTAGTGTAGTAATAATACAAGATTGCTAATGTTTAAAACACACTGAGTCCTTAGGGAAAACTTCCAGTGAAGACAGGGATCTTAGAAATCCAAAATAAATTCATTTAAAAAATGTTAACTATGGAGTACATTATTAATTAGCATATAAAAACCAATTCAGGCAATTAAATATAAGCTGAAACAGACGCTATACAAAATTCAGTAGATATCCTTGTTTCTGTTTAACACTGAACTGTTTAGTAAATATCTCAGTTAAATCAGTTTTCATTCCTTTGGACACAATGTTGATGTAGCACTGAGCACAAATTGAGATATCAACTGGATATCAACCGTTGTGTGGATGTTTTAAGTTCTTTTGTGTTAAACCAACACGTCTCAGATTTAGGGTGAACGACTGATCCTCCAGTGCTTCCCAACATTTCACCCATTTTTAATTACAGAGTATGTGTTGCTCATGTAGGGCTATATGGATAAGGTGAGTACACACGACATGTAAACATTAAAGACACAATCAGGAATTCATTCAAGAAGCACTTTAGTGGTCACTGAGGCAGAGTTTATTTATTTGGGCATGTCGTTTTCAGACTGTTAATGTTTGAAAGCCTCTGTTGGAGCAGCATTAAATGCGATTCCTGATTTGGTCTTTAACACCATTTCCATTACACAAATTATTGCTAATTCTTTTTGCATTCTGAGGTAAAGTCATGTTCTTAACACAGGAAGGAAGTAAATTCATTATACAGTATCATAATTCTGGAACAGGAGAACTCCAGCTTCCTAAAAAGTAAAACAAAAGGTGGTCAGTTTAAAAAAAAGGACGATGTTGTGGACAGCCAGAAGAATAATCTGGAAAGAATAACATCAAAGCAGGTGTTAAAAAGAGAAAAAAATCTGTGACTAAGATTTCAACAGAAGAGTTAAAAAAAAAAACAGTAGTCTGGATGCTGAGAATGGTTCCTTAACTCTGCATATGAGACTGAAAAACATTCAAAAAACATCATGGTAATGATAAAAAAAACAAATCAGCCTCTGATAATCCATACCATTCAAAACAGCACTACCTGGAATTTGGTCAGTTAACTTAGAAGTTGGGTTAATAACTGACATAAATCCAGTTTTATTGGCTTGTTTGCTACACTCTCTTGTGTCTAACTATTATTAGGACAAAGTTGCGAAAGTTGGAAAAAATTACAGCTTAGAGAAATGGGGTTTACTGTCAAACTTTGATGTATTTTTTAGATGGCTTTTGCACTCCTCACTAGGGTTCTCTAGGTGGGTAATATCTTCAACGGACAGTAATGTCTTTAACGGAACAGAGATATTCTCATGGTAGATGAGACAAGTCAGCTGGAGAATAATATAACTATCTAATTGCCTAATGGAGCAAAACAATCTATACTCGTAATGTAATGGAAAAGCCTAAAATAGAATGAAATTGTTTCTGTTCATCTTATACTTCTGTGTCATTTGTCTTTCTCGGTAGCCAGATTACATACATTGCTATGGTTTAGGCGCTACTGGAAGGTAACATGTTTGGATATAACCGATGCATCAGATTTGCTTCTCAGATTTGCTGCATATCTTTGCTAGGCATTTTAATATTTTTTAAAATCCATCAACAGCCCCCAGATGCTTTTGTCTGACCCTGTTCTTTGCTATGCAAAGAATGGGGGTCTAATGATGACATTCCTTTGCTTTCATGTGCCATGTATTAAGGTAATTAATTTTTTGATTCATAAGCATGCTCGATGCTAAACCACTAAATAAAGCTCATCTCCCTAATGAGGAGCACTTCTGACACCTAGCAAATTAAAGAGACCTACAAAAGGACCAGGCAATGACAGATATGCACAATGTCTATAAGGTCATTTTAAAAGAGGACCAGTACAGAAAGGTATTATAAAAGCAACAAAAATTAGAATTTTTTAAAGCAAAAATAATGACAAAGATGGTAAACACAAAAGATGACAGAGTAGGCACTGATAAAACTGAAGTGCTGCTCCCTCATGAAGTAAGTTTGGCAGACACAGTTTACAAAGACTTTTGCTTAACTTCGGTGGATCCTCAGAGAAAGTGGAAATGAATAACATGAAAAGGTGTAATCGTTACATAATTGAAATGATGGCTCATACTTACTATAGGGGACACACTCATACTGGACCTCAAGGTATTTGTAAGTTCCTGGGCAAGGGTCAGGGAAGACATCCGATCCAGTAATGACAATACACTGGGTTCGATTATTGCACCTAAGGGTAGGAGAGACAGGGAGAGGAGAGAAAAGAGAGAGAGAGAGTGAGAGAGAGTGAGAATGTGAGTGAATTACAAAGAGAAATAAGAAAAAAAAAAAATCATATGAGATCATCCTGAGAGTCTGCTGTGCACACCTTCGCGACTGTCAGCTGTCAATAATGCAATTGGTCTCGTTGTTGCGCAGATCAATATGAAACAAACAGTGGCGTTCGAGTAAAAGGCCAGCTGATTCTTAAAGAACGACTTTTTGCTCAGGACGAGATGAGAGGGGATGAAAATTAGCCGGAGCGCGCGGATGCCACAGCAGCCCTTTTGACACTCCCGACAAAGATAAACAACCTAATCTATGAGTGTTCATACCCGCCAGCGCATGAGTTATAAGGATCTTATGTATACATCCTTGGGGCTATGCTGATTGGGCCCATGATGAATTCAGTCTCCTTATATGCCATTTCACTCTGCTGAATTTTTCACTATATGTCAGGGGCTGTAATGGATTGTGTGCTTGTCCAGGGTCGATCAGTTTGCTTTTGGCTTACACCAAAAAAAATTACAGAAAAAAAACAAACAAAAAAATTATGTATTCTAATTATGGATATTCATCAGAGCTGCTTACTTACAATGTAAATGTTGCTGACTGATTAATCATACCGTGTGTGGTTTTAAATGTAGATCCCTTCCTTGAATATTAATCTGATACAAAAAGAACCATGCTGTGTGCTCAGCGTTTGTCTTCCTGTGTATGTTTGTCTCTGCTTTGCTTATTTATTTATTTTTACCTTTTGTTGTTGTTGTAAGTTTAGCTTCTCAAGCTAACAGCAAACATTTTTTGTGCTCTTTCTGAGCTCTGACTTCCCCCCCACTCTATTTGCTGTCATGCTGGCCCAGCCAATACGCTCCAGTGAGTGAATAAATCTTGAGCAATCCTGACATCCTCTCACTTTGGCCCCCCTGATGTCATAGACGGTTATCGTGGCCGCAAACCAACAGCCATATTTACGCCACCACATTGGGCAGTTCATCCCCCTGATGAGACTTAGCATTTTATCTGTCGTCTGTAGCCTTTAATCAATAACTCTGTCCGTGGGCAAGTGCCTACTATTTCAATTGATTGCTGAAAATCTATCTGCAGTACATCAGTGAATTTTCTTCCCTTCTTTCCTGTGTGTGCGTTTTTTGCTTTCGCATAGCAGAGAGAGTGAGAGAGAGGGAGAGAGAGAGAGAGAGAGAGAGAGAGAGAGAGAAAAGAGAGAGAAAAAGAGAGAGAGAGAGAGAGAGAGAGAGAGAGAGAGAGAGAGAGAGAGAAAGAGAGAGAGAGAGAGAGAGAGAGAGAGAGAGAGAGAACTGTGCTGAAAGTGAACTACAGTTTACAAAAAAATACAGACAAAAGTCCAATGTACTTGCTATGAGGCAAATTGATTCCCAAATCCCAACATGCCCATGAAAACAAAGGTCCTCAGAAGCTGTGATAAAACAAAAAGGACACTTCCGCACAAAATAGCAACGGGTGGCTGAATTAGCCTGCTGGCATTTTTTTTCCTCTGACCTGGCCTGAGGGCAACATTTTTCTCTGCTCTTATTTCTCTTTACCTCAGCAACTAGCTGTGACAATTAATTTGTCTTATTTTCTGTTTTAATATACAGAGGGAGAAGATTCTCTCCTCCCTTCCAAGGCAGGAGAATGTGGGGAAGCTCTTATGTGCACACAGTGTTCTTCATGTACAACTAGAGCCACAGCTGTGCATTCCTAACCGTCACGATGGGGGACGAGGACCGTGTGAGGAGCCATCCCAGGAAAACCGTCACTCGTACACCCAAGTCTTTTACTTCATTAACGGCCCGCACGTGATCACAGATTTGAATATCAACATGTTTGCTCATATAAATGAACCACAGCCCTAAAATCATAATATGCACCTCTCTAGTGCTTGAAATAATGTGCCAATTGGCTCTTTTTTATTTGTGGCTCTATTAAAGGCACTCGTAGTGCATTGTGTGTCCTATATTTCATTCAGTCACATTGTCTTTGCATTTGCATAATTGAATATGCGAATAAAATATAGGTAGCTGTTCATGTTCTAAGATTGGCTCCAAAGGGGAAGGTTAACATATGGCGTGAAGTGTGTTGCCAAAATAACACAAGGATTATAACAGTTTTACAAGCACATTTCTCTTGCTGTAATATCTCCATAATGTAATATACCGCATACTTTAAAAAAAAGAGGAAATAAATGTCATGCACTATGCAGAAAACAAAACATCCCCAACAAAAATGCTAAACCTCTGCTTATCTGCATTTAAATTGAACCATATTCATAGAGCAAAACAGTTCCAGTTAGAACTGCTGTCCATGTGATGCAAAATATAATGTTAAAGCTGAAATGTGGGGGAAAAAATAAGAACACAATTCAGTTATAGTAACTTGATGGCTCCTTCCTACTGAAGCAAGAACACTTCTATTTCATGAATCACCCTAAGATATTCAGGAGCTAATCCTCCCATATTTGACCTTTAAGGAGAGCTAAGCATCAGCTCTGCCTGAGCAGCTTGAGAGCGCAGCAGCGAGTTGATGAAATCTCCCTCCAAAATAGACCCTTGGCTGACAGCAAAGGTGTTTACAGAGAAGATGAGACTGTCTTACAGATGACACGTCTAACATACACACCTCTTGTCACCGGGACTTCTCTGATGTACTCAAAGTTAAGCATTTAAGTATTGTGGCAATGTGCACTGAATGTTTATGCTCAGCTCAGGTTCATTTTGCTGTAGGTAAGCTTTTTGTTTCAGCACTTCAGTTTCTCTAATGATCCTCTACAATAGAGAAGCGCACACCAGAAGCAGGTGTGGAAAAACAATGGCATCTGCCAGGAAAGAGACTAAAGTCTAATAATAACACTTTAGCAATTATTGGTGTTTTATTTATTTCTAGTTTATAGGAGTGAATTATGCCAACTGATTCAATTTGATTTGCTCTTACAATTGAATGCTCTTACATTGGGGCTATAGGCACAAACGGTACAGATCTAATATGATTCCAAAAATGGTACTGATAACATTGTAAAAGAAAACAATGAGTTGCTACTTGAAAAGGCCACTTGCACATCTTCAAAAAAAAAAGGGGGTAGTGGTCACACTCTACAATAAATTACCATCAATATCAATTATGACTACTTGAGTAATCTAGTAACTATTTTGATGATATTTTGAGCAATCTACTTCAGAAGATAAAAACAGGCTCAACTGCCGAACAGCATTTTATGCAGAGCCTTTCACAGAAGCCTACGAAAATATTTCATATATAAATAAAACATTATGCAGCAAAAAAATGCACAGACACGTGTGTCCATTAGGCTCTGCTGAATATCTAAAAATTCAACTCACAAAGAAGTAATTTTTCATGCAATTTTGAGAAATCTTTAATGCTGCTGTGAGCTACTCATTTTACTGCACACCACTATACAGTAGTGTTTAACACTAAAAATCTACTTTATAGCCTGAGTACCACTGCTAGCTCTTTTATGGAAGTTTTAATGCTTAATGTTAGCGTCACGCTAGTGGTCGTGTTCACTTCCTACATAGGGTATAATATCACTTCACCCAGCTCTGCTTAAACATGAAAAATTGAAGCATTTAAGGCCTGTAACAGACATTCAAGTGGCATATTCTTGACCTTCTTATGTTGCAGTTATGCAGTTCTACAGTTCTACAGCTCTGAAAACTGCATTTAACAGTTTTATATAGCACTACTGAAAGAAGAACAGTATTGTTCATATTACAGGCACATAAAATGTTATGTATAAAATATGCTACACCACAAAGTGGAGAGTTGTGCAACTGTTCAATGAGCGATAAAAAAGGAACATTGTCAAAATGCACTCAAGCATTAGCCTGCCTTGCAGGCTGCAGCTGGGTGCTCAAGTGCTGTTTACAGGCAGCGAAACACTGACGTCCAAGATTATTGCTTCAAAATCCAGTGCAACGCTGATAAAACATATTTCAGATCTCATACAGCAGCATCTCATGCAACTTAACATCTTGTCCGTTAATAGTTCTCTGTAAAGTTCCGTGTTCTTTAAACGGTGAGGGGACCAAAATAAAGGAAGGGAAAATGGCCACAGCAAAGGCTACTGTTAAATTCCCACAATAAATCCAACTCTGCTCCTTTGGTGAAATGTTCTTAGAAATAGCATGTCGACGAAAATAACCGCTTGTTGTATGGAACCACTCGTACTGCAGAAGGCAACAAATCAAAGTTGTCATTAAACCTGCAATCGCTAATTACTATCATATGCCTGTGGTAATTACACTGAACCAAGACAAAACAACTAAACATCATGTTCTTCCTGACACACGCTAGGAGGCAATTAAGCTCAGACGAACGGGATTTACTGTCAAATTTACTATGACCCAAATGGTCAAATCCTATCAAACCTGCATAAAGATGTTAAATGATATCGCTAAGCGATGGGGAAATGGCTACTGTGAATAAATATTACAGTGGCAAGCCAATATGATATAATATCAATGGCAATGTTGTGCTTGATTGAAGAAACAAGTGCTTTTATTTTATTACTCTGCTGTGCCTACGCAAACAGTTTACAGTGGCTCGATGGAGTCAGAGCCTCACTCTTTCCCCGCAGTACCCCACCACCTCTACTGATTAGAAATCAAGGAAGCACCTGGGAGTGCCTCTTGATTTCACAAACAAGTGCGGCTCTTGGCTGCATTCAGAGGGACATAGGAAATCTTAATCTGTAGAAGTTTAAATACTTACAAAAGGCATATGCGCCCAGAGGCAGCACTAGGCTGTGTGCCATCAGGCGGCAAATGCTGGGGTCTTTGGAGAGCCATGCAAGCATTTCTGTGACTAATACAAATAGAGCAGTCTTCCACTCGCATGCATCCCTGCCATCACTAAGCTTATTCCTCTAAACAGCATAATTAACACAGAGCTTGATGAGGGACAATGAACAAGATATAATGCGAAGAATTCAAGGACAGTTGTGCTTCTTTCATTTATTTCCAAAGCAATGTAGTTAGCTTTTTTTTTCCCCCTCAGAAATACTACCAAATGAACATTTCTGATGCGTTCATTTGCGCTTGCCTCATCTGAAGTCCGAATTTGTTCACTGACTTTCAGCTTTACACTACGATTTCTTGCCCTCAAGTCAGCAAACTTTCACTGCTAAATCACAAACCCTGTAGCTTTAAGATCTTACAGGTGCTGGTACTATATTTGATAATCAATCTCTTTGTTTACTCTGGTCACTTAAACCTAAGCCTGGCCATTAAAACCATCCCTAGACGCAGTTCATCCCACACTGCTCCCACTGTGATCTCAAGCACGAGTTTTATCCACACAGAATTGAAGCATCAGGCGCTAAAAATTAGCTTGCATCTATTATTAATGCACACTAATCAACCGTCATGATGAATGATTATGATGTTGGTGGTGATTCATTACTCGGCCAAAAGAAATAACAACATGAAAAGTGCAAAACAATGCAATTTCACATCTGGGCTTGCGCAAACCTAAGGAGGCATATCCCTTTGAAAAGTTTCCCGTGTAGATTAGCACCCACTTGAGACGGCTAATTGCCTGCAGCTGAAGGGCCTAATTGAGCCGCTGCAGTTTCAGGCCTATTTTCATACAAATCATGGCACACGTATAATAAGCTGAGCGGAAATACAAACAACCCGCGCTGCCTAGACCTACAAAACACATCAAAGGCCGTCTCACACATAACTTCCTGTTTGCCAGCGCAATGCAAGAAAAGCGAAATTGCAAGGCTCCAGATGTAAGCTAGTCACTCAACTGGCAAGCGGATACACGAAAAAACGGGATTTTGTGTAGTTTTTAAGGGCACTTTGAAATTAACATCAAGATATTTAAAGGGGGGATGCTCTCCGTGTTTGGCACTAAGGGCATTCCTCTCAATGCCATAGAACCTGGTTGCTTGATTACACAAGAGAAAAGAAACAGCTTTTAGAATGCAAGAATAGAGCGATCATATTAATATTAAAATTTCTGCAGCGCTGAGTCACATGTGAGCTACCGGTTTAGTCATGTTTTCCTAGGAGCCTAGATTAATTTAATGCTTACCAAAAGCAGATCATTTTGAAGTAATTTCAATGGAGTAAAATTACCAATGTTCTACACAGCTTAAATGACGAGTTTTGCTTTTTCATCTTTCCAATATTATTATTACCAGGCTTTAGCTTCCACTTTCCTATATACTATGGGATGTAGTTATCAGTACCATTAGGGTGGATATTATTTATATATTATTGGATATTATTATTATTATTATTACATATGTTATTAGATATGTGATCAATATTTCTAAAGATTTAAGTCAAGCTGAAATCAAAATTGACCCTTTTATCCTGTTAATTCATATCCTTGGTCGTATTAAGCATTAGTTGTCGTAAACCATTTAAAAGCCAAAATTCTTGTTTCCTTCTATATTTGATTGATGTGTAGAGCCTTTTTCACATCGAAAATGCCTTCTAAGTTAGGATTACATCACTGTGCACCAGCGACCCTCACTGAAGGTGTGTTTCACTTGGAAATACGGTACAGTATGGTAGAAAATTCACTCAGCTCAAACAACTTAGTTATATTTCTAGTGGAAACATGCACCGAATTTTTGTAATTTTAATGTATACACCATTTCTGCAGGAATAAAATATCCAGTTTACTTTCTTTACATAACTGTGTTCATGTTATGTTAATAATGTAAATATGATGTCCACATTTGAATCAAGTTACATTACTTTTGGTCAGTTTTCTTTTATATTCAGCAGCTTGTCTAAGCACAAAGTGACACCGCTCTTCACCTATATGCAGCAGTGCAAGCATGTGATGATACAGCACTGCGAGTGAGCTTGTAGATGATGTCCACTCCAATGAAGGGTGTCTGCACTCAACCCACCTTTGGGACATTATCTTGTATGCATCAGGGAGGTAGCAGTTGATGTTTTCCATCTGGAAGGGGTCGGCGTCACAGATCTTGTCATCCGTCCGCCCGTAATTAGCACTCTCGATCATGATGACATCACTTCCTGGACAGCGCAGGTCAATGGGGTAACCCTCACATGACAGCTCCCGCCTGACCAGACCAAACGGCAATGCTGCCCGACTGAACCCTGGGGGGGAGGGAGAGAGAGAGAGAGAGAGAGAGAGACAGAGAGAGAGAGAGAGAGAGTGTAAAAGAGGGAGAGAGAGAAGAAATCAAAGACAGAAATACAACTACTCTGACAAGAAGTATCACGGGGAAATTGGGGGCAAAACACACTGGACATTATTTCAAAGGCTGCCAAACTGACATTGAGACGAATGAGATGTTCAGGGCTACGTGAGGTACAAGAGTGTTTGTTTTGAACTAAAAAAAGAAAAAAAAAACCTTTGGGAGGTGAAAGAAAACAAATCAATATTTAATATCTATGGCAATTAATAAATATGTCTGCTAAAGTGTCTTGTACACCTGAGAACAAAATGCTATCAAAGAAACTCATTATGATAACGCAAAATAATTCAAAATACATACTTTCGATAACATCTGAAATATAAAATTAGACCTGAGAGGAAACCTAATGTATTAGAGTGTTTGCAGTGTTTTGGAGGTTTAAAAAAGAAACAGCCTAACAAGCATCAACAACAGAAATGGGTAATTCTATCCATTTTATAGCTTTGGCAATACGAGAGTAGACATGTGCACAGCTGAAGAGAAAAAAGGGTGAAAGAGAGGGAGGTGGGTTGAGCGGGGAAAAAAAAATCAATACTTTTGCTTTGTGTTCTGCAAATGTGAGCAGTGCCAAATAGCTGTGCTTAGGGGGTGAAGCAAACTACTCTCAACAAATCATTCGGCGGGCATTTTTCTTCCAGCACTGTAATGTCAAACAAGAAGGGGCCAATTTTTGATAAACAGAGGTCTTTATCTTGAAAATACTCTCTATATTTGAAATTTCACCTAAAACAAAGAAGCTCACTAATTGCACAGCACAAGGAAAGTAGCACCAGTAAGAGAATGCAGGTATTAACTGAGCATTTAGCTTCAGTAGACCCACTGATGCTTTCAGTGTTTTCTGAACACAAAAATTCAGTGGAACCATGCTCAGAAATCTGGGCGTGTCCGTGTGAGTGGTTGGGGACATGCTGTGCTGAAGGTGAGATCTAACTTTGGCAATGATAAAAAAGGCACATGAGGATGAATGAGGCTACAAATGAATTATGAGCAAATGTGCTAATCTAATATCCTCACATTTCTGCAAAATATGCTTGCTGCTGGCTATGCTAGTTATATCACTTTTTTTCCCAGCATGTTGCTACTGAAGTTCATGACAGGTGACTTGTTTCATCATCAAGGCCAGCTGGTGTCTGGTAGTCAGAATCAACATGGATTGCACCCATGGATCTGCAGCTAGCACCAATTCTATTTATACTGAGCCCTGTAAATTCAGTAGTGCTGTTGTCCCTCGGTATGCTCTACCACAAACCCTTTTGGTAACATAAGAATCATGCGTTTATTATGTACTAAATAATTTGATAGACTTTAACATTTGGGTTAAAATCAAAGCCACTCCAAAATACTGGCCCCTTCATTTGTGTCTACCACTGAAAAATTGGAACAACTATTCTTCTTACAGACACGCACATTATAAAAACATGCCAGACTAGATTTAGGGGGGAAATTCAGTCTAAAGCAGTTGAGGGGTGCACTTGAAGGGTGCACTTGATTTGCCAAATGGCTAGATATTCGATTAAACAGCATATACAGTATCTATTAGCTCAAAATATTTCTTTTAATTCATCCTTCCAAATGAACAGGAAAATGGTCGTGACACTCACTTCAGAAGTCACTGCTGTGCCGTTGTCTAATTATACAGGGAAAAAAGCGACTGCGGCTCTAGAGAGCTTTTTGTCAAGCCATTTCCTGTGCAGATTTTTGACACGTCGGGATGTTTTCAGCTGTATCAAAGTACACTGACAGCAAAATGGGTTCAAATGACTTTAAAAAGTCCGCTCAATTGAAATGAGTTTCTGGATGACTGAGTCAACAATCAGGCGAGGGGGAGAATTTGTACTGTTGTCGTGTTCTCTCTTTTTGACTTTGGGCATTCCTCGTGTGACCATTACACATTAAGACACAGGAAAAGAGTTGAGGGATGATGGGTATTCACCTTGTATCAAAGCTGTCACACTGCTATCATTTTTGTATGAGTTCTGCAGGATGCTTTTGGGAGAAGCAAAATTCATTAGAGGTTTTGGCTTGATATGAAAACACTACGATCCAGGAAGAGACCTGACACTCTGAACAAATGTTGGTGTTGGTACATTTCCAGTTCAAGACTAAAATTAGAGTCAGCAGTTCTCCCGAGGCAGGAAAAAAAAACTCTACCAAAACAATCAATGTTAACTTTAAATTTCAATGCACTGTACACTCGGATTCACAGCAAAGTAGTTCTCTCCTTTCTCTGTTTTCTTTTTTTCCCTGATCAGATAGAGTAGTACTCCCTCTGGTTGATTGCTTTAGCACTTGAAATCATTACACATTTGCCTTTTCTTCCCGGCCTACATTCGACTGAACTCATCGGACTCGATAGAGAGGTCGCGTGGACCATCATTCACGAATCAATGAGACTGCAGTGGTGTCCATTTGACTGGACCGCATTAGCTTTCGCTGCCCTACTTTGCGCTGGTAGAACGTATGTGGCCCTTGGACTCCACAGGAAAAGCATCAGCACGATCTGGTTTTCCCTGCCAAAACCACCCATATACTTCATCTGGAGAACCCTGCTAAAACACTTACGTTTCAGAGCACTTTGCGGTTCTGCCATATGGCATTGGGCTTTATCGTCCCACACTTCTATTCTTTCATTTCAGCCCTTTAAAGGAAACCAGAACATGTCGAGGGCGTGGGACGGAGGGGAACAGCCACTTTTTTACAGCTCCAAATTAATGAGTAACTATGCCATTTCTCTGTGGCCTATGATGACAGGGTTATAACACATGATGCCCTTCCTGTTCATGTGTCTGGAAATGAAATGGAAATAAGTGCTCGTTGTCTGGGCCTCAACATGGCCACCAAAGCAGTTCATAGATCATGCTGTCGAGGCCTGTTTCATAAACAACTTTCCAAAAGCCTGGCCATTGATTACGCCTGGGGATGAACTACTTTCTCAGCCTGACATCGGGTGATCTTTCAGGACAGACACAGCCACTGACTAATCGATACGGGAATCCCAAGCATACCTAGAAGTCATCCCTACCTTTTTGTAACAAAAAGAACGAAAATGGTCAAAGCAAATCAAATATAAAAAGGTTCAGAAAAGTAAAAGTGTGTAAATTTAGAAACCAGACATCACAAAAATCACAAAAGGTCTATTTGATATTACTTAACAATGTGACGTGGTTTGATGATTTACACCAAATGTGCTGATTAACTATAATTGAGATAGTGAGAAAACTGTTCAATTCTGGTTTTCCTTGTAACTATTTATTTAGCATCTGTGTCACTACAGAATTACTGGACTTATACTACACTCGCTTTTTTATGACTTTGTGGTCCATTTATTTGCTGCACTGTATCTTTGGCATCCCCGATCTCTCGCTAGAGTAGTAGAGGTGGCCCCATTGCTCTTCTGAGATCAGTCCTAAATTTTTATGACTCGATCCATCATGTTTTGACATTGTGATTTACCCTCACAATTATCTTTTTCCGAAACGTGTGAAACTCAGAGACAATCGGTTACCTTAAACATTTCTAACTTCCCAAACGCTGAATGAGCTGCACAATTTCCACTAAACAACAACCCAAAATAATGTAACCTAAAAATAGAATAGCAAAACAACAAAATGTAGTAATACAACAAATCAATCTTTTTAGCACAGTCCAGTAATTCTTAGGATTTATCTGACATTTCTGTACTCACCCAAAATACCATTCACTTGTGTGTTTTCACTAAATTCAGAAAACTTTCCAGAATGTTTCTCTTGTTGCCACTACTAATCTAGAGAACATCCCTGCGGTGTGCATGGGAACAAAGACAAGTTCAAGAAGAAAACAAGTTGGTTTGGAGGACTGCAAGTAATTTAAACTGCATGAAATAATCTTTTGAGAAAATAAGGCAGAAGCTCAGACAGTGATGTTCTACATGGAGCCAACAAGAACCAGACCCTGGATTGCTCAGTGGATTTATTTGTGTGTTTATTTATTTGGTAAACAAATTTGCCACTATCTTCCAATTCAAATTCGAGCATCTGCTGTCGCCAGAGAAACAAAATGAGGACGAGAGTCCTTACAATTTGACCTTCTTTTTTCCCCCCACTTATTTACTTATTTCTTTTTTTTTGTATCCCGTCTGGAGGGAGGGTAAAAGGAAAAAATAGAGCCTTCAGAAATGCATTAACACCTCAATGACATGAGGCAAATGTGCTCGCCACAAAAATGCACAGTTTTAATGAAGGACCTCTGGACCCAATCTTGAGACTCGGCCTTCACTTGTATGACATGAAAAGAGAGCACCAAAGCATAAATTGCTCTTTGTACCACAATGTGTTGAAGCGACGCACAACCTGAATGCACCTGGGTCAAACTGTGAGCAAGAAACACTATACATCTGTTTGAATCCTTGTTTAATCAAAACAAAATTCATGCTGACACCTCGCTTAGACTGTCTCATTCCAGGCCATATAAGCATGACTCCTCGAGAATGGCCAACATCCTTTATGCTACAACGTCCAGGATGCTTCATTTCACCTGGTTTTGAAGTACGTCTTCCATTTTAACTCTGCACTGCTTTTTCTGGCTTTGATTTTTAAATCAGTGATCCACTCACTCTGGTTTCAGGAACTTGCCAATGACTTTAAAACCTACTAAAACATAGCAGGGAAGCAAGCTGTACTTGCCAGAAGTTAATCAGGCCTTTAGAAAGTGAATTGCTCTCCGGCCCTTTACTCTCCTTCTAATTAAATAACGGGAGCGGGGATCAGAGGCGGTAAATAATATATTAAAGAGAATGCTGGATTTCATCGCCATAGCAACCTGTACAGCACCACCATAATCGGAGTGATCTCGCCATCCCCCCGCCCCATCCTGGCCTTGTTGACACAGAGTCTTATCAGGCATTCTGGTCAGTCACCACAA